AACCTTTTTGTAATAAATTAATGAAATCTGATTGTTTTTGAAAAACTTAAATTTGTTGGATTTTCCGGTTGTTACATTTATGCTATGCTATGTTCAGTAGTTCCGAACTTCTGTCCGATGCAGTCAGTTCCGGGCTTTGGTCCGATGCAGTTTGTTCCGGACTTCGGTTCGATGCAGTTGGTTCCGGATTTCGGTCCGATGCAGAGGGCAAGGCCCTGGTTAGTTCCGGACTTCGGTCCGATGTAGTGGGCAAGGCCCAATATGTGTTATATGTATTGTATGGTATGTGGTAGTTTAGGGGAGCTCACTAAGCTTCGTGCTTACAGTTTCAGTTTTGGTTTCAAGTACTTCTGCAAGCAAAGGGAAGAGCTCGGGTTGATGGCATCGCATACACCACAGTTTCAGTTGTCCTGGGAGATGTTTTAGTTTTTCATAATATGATTTGATACAGTTTTGAGACAGTCTACATAACACTTTGCTATTGTTTTGAAATATTGATGTATGAGTTTTATTTTATGATATTATCTTAGTATTTTTAGTAATTGTTAAACAAAATTTTTTGGGTCTTATTTTGGGATGTTTCAACTTAGTTAGCCCAAGATAAAATATTATAACTTTTTTAAAAAATAGTACTGATCTTATGATCTAACCTCTATCTCGCCTAAAAACAATCCAAGTATGATCGATATCGATTTATCTAAATGGGATCATAGGTTCATACAATCTTACAATCATAAGAATGATTATAACAACCTTAATTGCAGTTACACTTCAATATTATTAGGACATACGCATGGTGCTTGATGATATGCTTGTTAAAATATAACACTCGAAAAAAAGGCCTTACAATGTTGGTTCAAGAATGAGAGATGAGAAAAGGGTTTGAACTAATTGTTGGGGTTTCTATGCATCTATACATGAAATGTACTACCAAAAGCAATTAAAATAACCCTAAGTGTACATGCACCTTAAGATCTACGTTTTACTATTATAACAACCTACTATCAAAACTATGAATTTAAACTACCAAGAGGGATAAGATTACTAACCTTTGAAGTAAAATTGTATTTAATTTTGATTCACTTGAAGATCTTGAAGTTTTGGTTGCTTCTGGAAGGATCTAGCACCCAAAATAAGAATGTATCTAAAGGCTCACACCTAAAAGTCTAAACACTAAAATACAAGGAGAGGAGAGAGCACTTACGAAAATCAAATTATCTGGCTACAAGGAAGAGAAAGAAAGAATTTTATGAAGACTCAAATGGTCTATTTATAGTGGAACAAACGTGCAAAGAAAGCATATTTGAGTTAATTAAATAATCAGATTTAATCTGTATCTAAATCATTTCCATATATCAGTTAAGGATGTAAATATATGTTTTCATAAATTCTAGAATGTTCCTCTTGATCAACTATTGAACAATTAACATCTAGTCCCTACACATTTAATCAATTCCAAATTAATTCAAATTACTTTTAACAAGTTTCTAGTTAGTTTATCAAGCTATGATAAATTAATAAACTATTTATCTTACAATCTTAAATCATTTTCTAGCTATTTTAGCTCTTGAAGGCAACCCTAAAATGACTTTGTTATTATTACCAAAGTTATACCAATTAGTTATGACATTGGACACCCATTTCCAATAGTATCCCACTTAGACAAGTCATAACTGATACTCCAAATGCTCGTTAAATAGCATAACTAAACCCACCGAAGCACTTCCTAGGTTTCCGATCTCACCCTGCCACCAGCTGGTGAAGAACTCCCCATAATGTCAGTTACCCACCTCATGAATACAATCACATGCAACAAAGCTTAGCTAATCCTTCGAGTAAAAGACTCGTCCCTACAACAATTAGACCGAAAGGAGAGCTGCGCAATAGGGTCAAATCCGCCACTCTGAGATTATCCAACCCTCGTCACATGTGACTTGACGTATTCACTTAGTAGCTAACTCAGATCACTTAAGAGTTCCACAAAGCACAAAACAAGCAACATTCGTGCAGTAGGACTCCAATCCATAGCATAACTAAGAACATCCAACTCATATACTATAAATCATGCTAGGAACTTCCACTCTCGCTGTTAGCTGCCTTACGCATGTAAATTATACACAATATTTGATCAAATAGACTGTCGAATAAAAGATTCTACCCTAGGACTACAACCAAATGAGGAATAGGAAATAAGGCCAAATCAATCATTCTAGGGCTGTATATGAAGAATTTGTTTTAAAGATATCGTATTAAATACATACCTCATCAAACATTTTTGTTTTTTTGTTCTTTCGAACAATTTCTATGTTATATTTTCCTAACATAGACACCTTTAAAATTTTATATAGACACCCTCATGAGGTGGTTAACAAATAAAAGTAAATCTTAACATAGATTGGTTCTTATTAAAAAACAAAAAAATATATAGTTCTTCCATTCAAAAATTCAATATTCAAATTGTTATTTTTTACATTAAAGGGATTGATAAAAACTAAGAAAGAGATATGGTTATCGGATTCGATTCCATCTTACTAGAATAGTCTACCAACAAAAGAAACTATTCTTATTTGATTGAAGTTATAGATTAGAATAACCCCAGTTGATTTAATTATGATACAAAGAAGAAAAATGACCGAATAATCATTGTATGATGAAAATAGAATAACCGCCTATTTTTTTGTGTTGTGTACTTAGGGGTATACATTATAAAATTCTTCTTTATAAATATCAAAATGTATCTTCAGTTTTTAATTCGTTAAGCTAACAATGGACTCGTGGACATGGATTTGTTTGCTAAGAGCATACGGTATGGACAACGAGAAGTGGTATTATTGATGATGTGGAACCCTATAACCTACTCATAACAAGATGAACACCACCCTCCCCTCCCCCCCCCCCCCCCCCCCTTTTTTTTTGTTAAGAGGGTGTTATGACATATCTCGTTTGTGACGAAGACAAGATGCAACAGAAAGTTTAATTGGTTGTTTCCTTTATCAACCAATTAAATATTTTTCTTTATTTCTCTCTCTACATCTTAATATGTTATAACATGAGGAACATCATTTCCTCCTTAATGTTATGGTGGTATTATGGTTGAGGTGACATATGAATTTGGTGTTATAACGTGACACATACCTAATGCTCTAAGTTGTTTACAAAAAGTGAATCTAATTTGAAATTTCATTTTTAATTTAGAAAATCCAAACTCTCACGTTGTTTTAGTTTCATTTTTTTTATTTTTATATTTTATACTTTATTTTTATTTTCTATGTTTCTTTGTTAGCCAGTCAGTAAAATTTTACAATAACAATGAACAAATGATATACTAAAGATGATTAGTAGCGGAGCTTGAACTTTTGATTTGTAGGGGCGAAAGTATAATATGTATAAAAATTCGAGAACGAAGGAGGGGGGAAGGGGAGCCCAAATTTTATCTTTTTAGGCCTAATACATATAAAATTTAATAGGTATGAACTACTTATAACCAAAAAAACAGGGAGAAGAGGGGCACAACCCATTGTGAGCCTAAAGAAGCTCAACCCCTGAATCTTTATTGTAGATCGATAAATACAACTTAAATAATTTAAATTTAGCAACCCTTATATATTAACTTATATGTATAAAATTTTATCTTTTTAGGCATATACATATATATATATATATATATATACACACACACACATATATATATATATATATATATATATATATATATAATTTAATAGGTATGGACTACTTATAACTAAAAAAAACAGGGAGAAGGGGGGCACAACCCATTCTGACCCTAAAGAACCTCAACCCCTGAATGTTTATTGTAAGTCGATAAATACAAGTTAAAAGCGCGGGAGGGGGGGGGGGGAGGGGAGCCAAAATTTTATCTTTTTAGGTATAATACGTATAAAATTTAATAGGTATGGACTACTTATAACCAAAAAAACAGGAAGAAGTAGGGCACAACCCATTCTGACCCTAAAGAAGCTCAACCCCCGAATCTTTATTGTAAGTCGATAAATACAAGTTAGGGAGGAGCCCAAATTTTATCTTTTTAGGCCTAATACGTATACGATTTAATAGGTATGAACTCCCTATAACAAAAAAAAAAAAAAAAAAAAAAAAAAAAAAAAAAAAAGTGGGGCACAACCCATTCTGACCCTAAAGAAGCTCAACCCCTGAATCTTTATTGTAAGTCGATACAAGTTAGGGGGGAGCCCAAATTTTATCTTTTTAGGCCTAATACGTATAAGATTTAATAGGTATGAACTACCTATAACCAAAAAAACAGGGAAAAGTGGGGCACAACCCATTCTGAGCTTAATGAAGCTCAACCCCTAAATCTTTATTGTAAGTCGATAAATACAAGTTAAATAATTTTAATTTAGCAACCCTAATCAATTAACTTATATGTAGGGCGTGTTTGTCACGAAGTGTTTCGAAACGTTTGAGAGCTTCTAGCGTTTGACAAAACGCTCTGTTCTGAACAGAACTCTTCGTTTGACACTACAAGCTTTTAGCGTTTAATTTAAACAATACGTTCCAAATCTAAATGCTACTTCATGTAGCATTTAATAATACGCTACAAACTACAAGTTACCCGCTACTATCTAATTTTGTCGAATAGACCCATAAACTATCGTAGTTTTTTGTAGTTGTTTTCTTTTCTCAACAAATTATTTTTTCACGTCAATTAAATTAGACCATTGTATATTTTTCAGCAAATTAAATTTTCACATCAATTAAATTAGATCCTCCTAAGTTTGAATCATGAATTTGATCCTAATAAAAACTAAAAAATAATAAATTAATTCTGAAAAAAAAAAAAAATAAACCCTCACATTATGCGTTCTTTGAAACAAAAAGTATTAAAACATCAATGTTAATTTCAAAACAATTCAATTCTTCAAATCAACTCAACCTATGCATCCCACTTATATTAACATGGGAATACACTTTGTATGAATGTGAAAGAGTTTTCAGATCACCCATCCACAAAACACATACATTCATAGAGAAGTTAGACTAAAAGAATCAGCAATCTTATAAAAATCATGTTCAAGCATAGGCCATGCCGATTCCGGTGTTTGCGCATTCAGAGTGAACAAACGTCCCTCACGAGCACAACAAACCGCCACATTATGCCGGCTAAACGACGGACTTTCAACCGCAAATTCTAACACATAATACTTCACTTTCTTCACTTCATCTTCTCTAAGATCTGTTTTTATGAGTCTTCCTTTAATCTCCGGCCTCCGGCCAGATCCTGTAATCTTTCTGACGATTGCTTCTCCTACCTCCTCTGGACCTCCAAACGCTTCAATTCTATCAATAACCCAACAAAGATTGAGTCTGAATTTTAGCATGTTTGATCTTTGTTTAGGGAGTGGATTTGAAATGGTATGATACGACTTACGAGAAATCACGAGCAACAGGGGAGACGACCACACTGACGTTGAGCTCGCCGCTTGACCCTGGTGGACCGAAGGCCACAATCGGTTCGTTTACATTTCTCCGGCGGTTCACCGGCGGCATATCAAGTGATCTTTCCAGCTCCGCCTTACCAGCTGCTCTGTACAACAACGTCTGGTCTCCAACCCAATTTGCTGGGTATATAAATTCTGGGCATCATTGCAATACAACAATCATAAAGTCAAATTGTAAGGTCAATGAACTGGTTTTCAACATCAAATTTACTATATTTTAGAAAAGAGGCTTACAATGGAATTGAAGTTTTGAAAGGATTAGAAATCGAAAAGTTGGGTTTAAGTTTTTGAGTGAAATCCATGTTCGATTTTCGATTGAATTTCATATAGTTTTGACTTGATAGTTAACATAGATATATGAGCTTAACTAACCAAATCCTTCTTCAGATTTGATGCAGCGGCTGTAACCTTTGATGGGATAAAGCACATCAAGTTTGAGATTCCGGGCAGCCTCCGGCGACAAACCAAGAAGGAAACTAGTTGTACCGGCGAAGTTGGCACCGACGGCAACTAGAGAAGCTGATCCGATCCCAGTTAGAAGCCGCCGTCTGAATGCCGTTGCTAATGGCAAGAATTGTTCCGCCGGTAATTTGTTGGACGGGATTGCAGTCTCCTGGAATTCAACTTTCCGGTCACCGGGATTTTGTTGGTTCATATAAGTCCGGTGGAGGAAGTTCTGATGAATGGACATTGTTCCGACAGTTGTTTTGTTCATCGGGTGTTTGAGCCAAGCTTATCCTCTGTTTGGCTGAGATTTTCGCCGTTTGCATAGAAACTGATCCAACCAACCAGATCATGCCACGTCATTTTATGAAGAAAAGAGCAAAATAATATTCATTTGAGGTATTTAAGTTTGATTTATTTCTACCATTTTTTTTTTTTTTTTTTTAATTTGCATATTTTACTGAAATATAGTTATTTTTGGACTAATTTAACATTCAAAATAGATTGAAATTCAAACTAAATTATTCGGGCTGAATTCGTATTTAATAGAGACATGATTCTTATATAAATTACCAAATTCATATTTTACGAATACATGATTTTTAAACAAAAATAAAGCCTCCAAGTCGTTGTGGGTTATACAGCTGGGATAGGGTGGTACCGACCGTACCGTCAAGAAACGTTACCGTGAAGAGCATGCTTAACAATTTGGAGGCTTTATTTCATTCGAACGGATTGGTGAACTTGTAAGTTAATTCACATTTAAACTAATTTTGACAATTTAATGACATGCATAAAGAAAAAAAAGAATTGATTTCTCTCACTCAAAGTTGTTAAGATCGAGATCCTACTTAGAATCATTTTTGGGTTTGCAAGATCGGAATCGGGATCCTAAGATCCCACAAAATAAAATATAATTTTAATTTATAATTTTTAATCATGAAAAGTATTTCAAACATTTAGTTTTTCGTTCAAATATTATAAAAACTTCAAAATATTATCCATAAGCCACAATACAAAATGATAAATGGTAAATTGGTAAAGGGTAAAAGACATAAAATGGTAAAAAAAAAAAAAAATCAAGGGAAGGTAGGATCGGATCGGATCTCGATCCTACCTATGATCTTACGATCCTACCTGTGATCCAACCCCAAATACGATCATCTTACGATCTGAATCGTTTTTCATATCTAGGATCGTACGATCATACGATCAGGATCGCGATTTTAACAATCATGTTCCCACCTATTACTTTTATCTTTTTGCATGTGATCCGTTTATTTATTTTTATTTATTTTTGTTTTTGTTCTCATATAAATTTGTATAAATTTATGAAGATGAATACTCTACATTTCACTTAATTCTAATGTGTTTTCTCTGAGAAATTTTATAGTTCACTTAATTCCTTCGGTTATCTTCAATGTATTTTCGATTCATATTTAATAGAGACATGATTCTTATATAAATTACCTAAATTCATATTTTACGGAAACATGATTCTTAGACAAGAAGTTGTTGTGGGTTATACAGCTGGGATAGGGTGGTACCAGCCGTACCGTCAAGAAACGTTACCGTGAACAACATGCTTAACAATTTGGAGGCTTTATTTCATTCGAACGGATTGGTGAACTTGCAAGTTAATTCACATTCAAACTAATTTTGACAATTTAGTGACATGCATAAAGAAAGAAAAGAATTGATTCCTCTTACCTAAGGTTGTCAAGATCGGGATCCTACCTAAGATCGTTTTTGGGTTTGCAAGATCGGGATCGAGATTCTAAGATCCCACAAAATAAAATATAAATTTTAATCATGAAAAGTATTTCAAACATTCAGTTTTTCGTTCAAAAGTTTTAAAAACTTCAAAATATTAGTTATAACCCACAATACAAAATGATAAATGGTAAATTAGTAAAGGGTAAAAGATATAATGTAGCACCTGGTTCCCGGTACGTACTCCTTGCTATTTACTTTCTTAAAATAATGTATTTTGCCTTGGACTCAGCGAGTTGATGGGCCAACTCACCGAGTAGGAGTGGGACAAGGTATAGGAGTTGGACTTTGGACTCGACGAGTAGGCCCTGGTTGGGCAAAAACCCTAATCCGGGTGTTTGCACCCTATTTTAAACACTCTAACTCGGCCTCCCTTGTCCCTAACACTTCCAGAGAGCAGTAGAGCGAGACCCTAGCCCCCCATATTGTTATTGAGAGTGTTTTTGGCTTGGTGAAGGAGGTTTGGAGCTTAGAAGAAGAAAGAGGTGGTTGAAGAGTGCAAGGAAAGGAGTAGATCCGAACTCTACTCAGGGAGAAGCTTCCATTCAGGTAGAAAAGTCCCTACCTTGATCTTTAGATCATTAGTTACCATTTTTGTCCCAAATTGGTGGTTTTCAAGCCCTTAAACACCAAACTCCATGTGTGGTGCTTAATGATCCGAAAGGACTTTAGATCTGGACTTATTGGATGAATTAGTAGCATAAAGTTATGTGGTTGAAGTGATTGAGGTCCCCATTGAGTGTATGACCTCATTAAGAGTTTGGTTTTGGCCTTATGAGCTTATGGGGCCATGCATGCACATAAAGTTTGCAACTTTACGTGATAAGCATGCTCAAGGAACATGGATCTATGGTTTTGAAGCGTTGCATGTCTCAGATTTGGCCTATATGAGAAATGGGTCATAGGGACTCGGCGAGTCCCAAGGAGGAACTCGACGAGTTCCATGAAGATGGCCTTAGACTCGGCGAGTTCGATGAACAACTCGGCGAGTCCTATGAAGATTGCCCGGAACTCGACGAGTTGTTCTTCAAACTCGGCGAGTCGGGTCACGAGTCGGTTCAATCGTCCCAAGTCATGAGTTGAGGGTGATTCAATGAGTGGGAAGAAGGACTGGATGGGTAGGACCGAGTTAGTAGGAAAAGGACTCGGCGAGTCCAGTCAAATGGACAGTGACTTTGACCAAGGAGTTGACCTTGGGCCAATGGAGGGTCAGTCTTTTGACCTAAGGGTATTTATGGGTGTCTAGCCTATGTTTATGGTTTATAGCCGGTGGATTTGTGATCCAACAGTCAGACGCTCAACAAGCAGACTTCAGCAGCTACTTTCGAGGTGAGTTACCTTCCAGTAGTGGTGGGTCTAAGGCCACAATGCCGACCCACCAGTAGGAGACATATGATAGATGATTGTCTTTGTGATATCATCTAGGTTTGCTACTACCTGATATGTTATATGCTAGCATGATATGTTTTATGTGATAGTAGTAAGAGTTCGGTCGTTAGGACCGGAGGGTAGTCAGACACCCCAGATAAGTCTGACAGTATGTGATATTATGTTTATATGCTAGCATGACCTATTATATGAGTTAGAGGTAGGAGGAGGGGAGCAGTCCCCGAGTTCGGTTGTTAGGACCGAAGGGTAGTTCAGATAAGGGTATTTATGGGTGTCTAGCCTATGTTTATGGTTTATAGCCATTGGATGTGTGATCCAGCAGTCAGACGCTCAGCAAGCAGAGTTCAGCAGCTACTTTCGAGGTGAGTTACCTTCCAGTAGCGGTGGGTCTAAGGCCATAATGCCGGCCACCAGTAGGAGACGTATGATAGATGATTGTCTTTGTGATATCATCTAGGTTTGCTACTACCTGATATGTTATATGCTAGCATGATATGTTATATGTGATAGTAGTAAGAGTTCGGTCGTTAGGACCGGAGGGTAGTCAGACACCCCAGATAAGTCTGACAGTATGTGATATTATGTTTATATGCTAGCATGACCTGTTATATGAGTTAGAGGTAGGAGGAGGGGAGCAGTCCCCGAGTTCGGTTGTTAGGACCGAAGGGTAGTTCAGATACCCCAGATAGGTCTGATAATCTGTTACGTTATGATATGTGATAGTAGTAATAGTAGGGGTGAAATAGTCCCCGAGGTTCGATCGTTAGGACCGAAGGGTAGTCAGCACCCCAGAATGGCTTGGCACGGGTAGGTCGGCACCCCAGAATGGCCGTACAGGGTAGGTCGGGCACCCCAGAAATGCTTGGCAATGTGTATGATATGTGATTGTATGGTATGTGGTATGATGGGGGAACTCACTAAGCTTCGTGCTTACAGTTTTCAGTTTTGGTTTCAGGTATCTCTTCTTCAAAGGGGAAGGAGCTGGCACGGTAGCAACACATCACACACACTCTTTGTATTCCGCACTATGAGATCTTCCTGGGGATTTGTACTCTGACTTTGTTATGTTTTTATAAACTGGTTTCCAGACACGCACACCTTTTATGAAATGATATGATCGATGAATGTTTTATTTCTAATGCTTTGCTAAGTATGTGTATTTAAAAATGAAATTTTTGGCTCGTATTTTTGGGATGTTACAAGTTGGTATCAGAGCCCTGGTTTGAGGGATTCGCACACACCTTCAGGGATGTCTGGACTTAAATCGAGTGATAAAATTAATTTGAAAAGAAAATGTTTACTAATAGTTCTTTTTAAGGAGGAACGAAGTGTGTAATGTGCGCGACCGGCCGAGCTCAAGTAAGTATTCCCCAATGTACCCATACCAGTTTATATATGTTTATCAGTTTCTGTAAAACAACATGCTAGAATAGGACTAAGGATCTAGGAGTGATGCCTTATGTGCCTGCTTTATGTGCCTCAGTATATGAAAATTACATGCTAGGATTGAGTAGACGGTAGTAGGATAACCTGTTTAGGTTATGCCTGATAGCATGAGCTTAGCATTGTATGCTAGTACAGTTTCCCATTGTGAGGATGGAATTGCTTGAGTAGCCTCCTATGTCTGAATGTTGCTTGCTTTATGCTTTGTGGGACTCTAAGTGATGGGAGTTAGCCATTAGGTGAATGCATCACGTCACATGCGAACAGGGTTGGATAATCTCAGAGTGCTAGACTTGGCCCTATTGCATAGCTCTTGTCTGAGTCTAACCGTTGTAGGGACGAGTCTTCTACTTGAAGGATTATCTGAGCCTCGCCGCATGTGATGGTATTCAGGTGATGGCTAATTGGCATCACAAGGAGGCTTTCAGCAGTTGAGGACTGGATCGGGTATAGTCAGAGGACTCCCTAGGGCAAGCCTAGGATAGGAGTAGCAGAAATTATTAGCAGTAATAGTGACTTGGTGGAGTCAAGGCAGTACTTGAGGAAAGTACGGATAGATGTGGAAGGTAGTATGGGTCCGTACTACTAGAAGTAGAGGATCCGTAATCGAATCAAGGAAGGTTGAGATGAGACCAGGAAACTTGTGGTAGTAGTGATCCCTCGAGATATATCAGTGTTCCTGACGTTTTTATGTTGTGTTTCAGAATGGTGGTATTGCGCCCTAGACCAGCAGTTGGCAGTTCAGGAGAGGGATCGAGTTTGGGATCAGGTTCCGAGCCGGTGGATGAGGGGCTACGCGATTTCATCACGTCAGAGATCACCAGGGGCATCCTTGAG